TTTCTGTTAGAGGCTAAGTCGACCCCAGGTCCATATTGCGGCTGGAAGGATTAGGTAAATTGAAAAAATTCACCCGGTTGGGAATTGATCCCGTGACCTTCCAGCTTGTATTACATTTACCATTTATTCTTGTCCATTACTGAAGTATTTCCAGTATTCTGTATGATGTGTTATTAATTTTGTCAAATAATCCTGTCCAGTACTGCAATGTAAGATGAATACTATATTTCCAGTATTCTATAAGATATGTTATTCATGTTGCATTTTAGCGTCCTGTTGCACTGATTCGTATCCATAATTTGTATATATTAACCGTCTTTTAGTGCATACAATTTCACTTGTCACTTCACACTACATGTTTCGGCATCATTCTGCCATCCTCAGGTGTATTAATCACGTTAAACCATTGCACTGCCTTCCATCAAGTGTCCATTTATAAAATGAAATAAAATGTGTGTTCGTCGTTATTCAATAATAAAATTTATATATTAAAACTTGTTAAGATCTATCATCTTACATGTCGTATATCAAACTCGTGTGTAATGCCATTCAACCACTATGGGAGTCGTTCTTCTTATGTTTTAATTATGTATATACTGTGTGTTATAATGTGTCTTTCTTATATGATTGCGTGCGTTGTATTGAGGGGGAAGGGGAGACGCATAGGGTGGTATGGTAGCATTTTATTTTATTGATCATGCTGTCGGTGCTGGTGGCCATTTATGATTTAGTCAAGGTACGTCTGCGGCGAGATGGCAGCAGTAATGCCATGTGACGTCACCGCGGCCATGTTGCAAGCCGTTAACGAAGAGGACGAAGAGTGTCCGCGAGGTGATGTGTTTTCTGTACAGTCAAAAATGGAAACGAAGCTGTCAATCGCTGTTAATTGGGTGAACAGCGTGTAATATTTTTGTTTAAGTCCCATTCTTACGTAATAATATGTCAGCTATGTTAACTGCAGATTGGTGTCCACTTGGAAGGGACACCTACTTCAGGTAACAAAATTGATAGTGATGTCTGCCTGATGGTTTTCGTGTAATAACCTAGAAGTATATATACGAAATCAAAATCACGGTACTTAATAATGCATATTATGTCGGTCGTTGTAATTTTTATTTATCACTGCAGCGTATTTAACCAAAAATAATTTTTTGTTGTTAATATTTCACTACAAATAAAAGAAAGACCAGGTCACACAGCCCTGGAATGGACCCTCTTTCACGGGATTTTGATTGCGAAATAAATAAAGCACGGCTTGAAAGATGCAGCAGATACAACAGCCTTTCCTTCACGCAGGTTTAATCTACAAAACTTTATCAAGTTAATTCATAAAATAATATATAATGACAAAAGATCTAGGTCAGACAGAAACCAATACCCTGTGCAACCCCAGTCAGTTGTTATTGAATTTGGAATTCAATTAATGTTAAAAGACTGAATACAGTTCATTCTAACCTAGCTAACGCCACTCTTGTTACTAAAGTTGTTACACTCATTACTAGATTTAAATAATAAATATTGAAAATAACTGGACAGAGCACATAATAATAATAATTTTATTTAACATTCACCACAGTTACAAATTGTAACTTTCGAACAAGTCACATATACAACTCTTCCAGTCTAATTGGTCTCCTGCCAAATCAATTGAACGTCATCATATATCACATAACATAACATTCAGTTACAATTAAAATCATACTCTTGGTATAATTAAAATATATTAGGTACAATCAAATTTACGACTACCTCCGTTATAAAAAACAAGGTCATCTTACTATATATATCTTAATTACCACCATCATATTCTTAAACTTAAAACCTATTATATCAAAATAATTCACAAAAGATAAAATTCAATTTAGATAACGATTAAATAATTTGGAGTGCAGTCTCTTTTAAGACTTCCATTCCCTTTATAGGCTGAATCATATTAAAAACTTCACCTAATTACTAGTCATTTTACTTACACTTAAATCTGTTTATCAAGGAGAATCTTGTTCATTTAACTGTCCTTCTGAGAGGAACTCGTGCAAATTATACAATGGGTGTTCCAGTAAATATCTTTTGAGTCTATGTAGGAATTCTCTATCCGCTTTTACCATTCATAGTTCCAAAGGTAGTCTATTATAAAGCTTAATAGCCCTATTTGTAACACCCTTCTTGTATGTTAAGGTATTGTAACTTTGCATTTGAAGGTCTTCTTTCTTTCTCGTGTCATACTTATGTAGGTCAGAGTTTTCTGTGGTGTAAATGTTATATATCTTGAAATAATGTAACACCTCTAAAATATACAAAGATGTTGTATTTTAGCGTCCTGTTGCACTGATTTTCGTCCATGATATATATACAGTGTCCGTCTTGTAGTGCGCTCAGTTTCACCTGTTATTTCACAACATGTTTCGGCACCATAGTGCCATCATCAACGCCCGCAGCCAAAAAGGGAACACACATCACGAGACATGATACACACGGAGTATAAAAGGAATGACTCCCATAGTGGAGGAACCATGCGCGGGTTTTGAATTGGGATAGATAAGGTGAATATCTTAACAAGATTTAAGTATATAAAAATGTATTATAGCTGACGAATATTTTAAACTACTTTTTAAATATCATTTGTTTCATTCTGGTCCATCACACTAACAATTATAAATACACAACACTCCATCTAATGTGACATATAAGTTTTTACTACATGAAAACTTATCTCCCTCCTCATGTGCTAGACAGGCGGCAAAAATCTGCCCCATACAAGAAGGATGATAGGAGCATGGACACGAACCTACGTGGTTTAAAAATTTTAACTATTGACAAAAAATTTTTAAATAACATCTATAAACTTTTAAAAACTTTACAACACCAGAAAGCTGCTGTGATTGTGAAATGTTCGACTTTGTGTCAACTGTGTGTTATAGGATATATGTGAATGTATTTTAAATCAAAATACCTATTGTGATGGTGGTTTCCATTTCGTAATGATGTTCCCTCTGAAGATGGTCGGACAGGACCGAAACATGTAAGGGAAATAAGTTTTCATGTAGTAAAAACTTATATGTCATATTAGACGGAGTGTTGTGTATTTATACTTTTTAAATAATTTTACATTGACATAATGGCAAGCAATGCAATAGTTTAATATAAATGGAGCACCTAATGATGGCACTATGGTGCTGAAACATGTTGTGAAATAACAGGTGAAACTGAGTGCCCTACAACACGGACACTGTATATATATCATGGATACAAAGATCATCATCATCATCTGTAATCTGTCAGACAACAGGTCCATAGTCTCTTCCAAAACAATTCATCCACTTAATGCAATCTAGAGCTTTCTCCTTCAAATGACAGTATCCTCTTCTGTCCCCAAGGTCATCCAGCATCTTCTTACGTCTTCTTCCTCGTCTTCTTGTCACTTCTATCTGCCCCTCTATCTTTCCTTCAATAACTTCTTTTAGAAGGCAGTTTCTGCGTAAAACATGACCAATCCAATTAGCCTTCCGTTTTCTTATTTCATGTAGGATATTCCTCTGCTCACTGACTCTAATTAACACTTCTTCATTTCTCACATAATCGGTCCAACTGATCTTCTCCATTCTTCTCCAACACCACATTTCGAAACTTTCCAGATGTTTCTGATCTACTGCCCTAAGTGTCCATGTTTCAGCCCCATACAGAGCTATGCTCCAAATGTAGCATTTCACTAGTTTCTTCCTCAAATTTAAGTCCAATTTGCTGGTAAAAAGATTCTTCTTCTTGCTAAATGCAGCTTTTGCCATGGCAATCCTGGATTTAATTTCACAAGTACACCTTCCATCATCTGTTAACAAGCTACCCAAATATTTAAAACATTTCACATTCTCCAGTTGTTTTTGGTCTATCTTTATTGTGACTGGGGTTGGTTGTCTCGAAATTTTCATTACTTTTGTTTTCTCCACATTCATTTCCATGCCATAGCACCTTCCAATTTCAATTAGTCTATCAATCATGCCCTGTAGCACAGTTTCTTCCTTAGCCATTAACACAAGGTCATCTGCATATTTCACAGTTTGAATAATTTGCCCTCCTACTTTGAAGTCACCGAGCCCATCCAGAGCTTCCTTGGTAAGGCATTCGCTGTACAAGTTGAACAGAATTGGTGATAAACAGCATCCTTGTCGAACTCCTCTTCCAATCTGCACACTTCCTGTCTCCCCCCTGTCCAGTCGTACTCTAACTTTCTGATCCATGTACAATTTGCTAATCAATCTTCTTTCACACCAATCGATACCTGTTTCCTTTAGGATCTGCATTAATTTGGTCCAGTTTACCCGGTCAAATGCCTTCTGCCAGTCTATGAAGCAAACACACAGTTCTTCATCTATCTCCAAAGTTCGTTCCGCTATAATTCTCATCATCCCAATTGCATCCCTGGTTCCTTTTCCTCTTCTAAATCCAAACTGATCTTCTCCAAGTACATCCTCTATTTTCCTTTCAATTCTTCTTTTAAGTATCTTTGCTATTATCTTTGCTGTATGTGCAATAAGGCTTATTGTGCGATAGTCACTGCATTTTGTAGCTTTTGTCTTTTTCTTTAAGGCAAACATTGTCACTTCTGTAAAGTCCTTGGGCCACTCCCCAGTTTCATAGATTGTGTTAGTGTTTTCAAACCACCTCCCAGTAACTTAAGCACATCTCCAGGTACATCATCATCTCCTGTAGCCTTTCCCTTCCTCATTTCCTTGATAGCTTTTTCCACCTCACTTTGTAAAATATATGGTCCTTTCTCGTCTGTAT